TCTGTAGGACAAATTCCTGAGGATGGAATTACTAAGTGAAATGCTATGTACATTTCATAAGCCTTGTCAACCTGTCCTCACATTGCAGGGACACAGGCTCACACCAACAAGGAATGTGAGCTGCTCCCCACCCTCACTCACTGCCTAGTACCAGCAAACATACTATCACATTTTTTTATTTTTTATTTTTTGGCTAACCAGATACATTTGCATTTCTTTATTAATGGGCAAAGTAGAGCATCTTTTCAAGTGTTTGTGTCTCCTCTTTTTAAAAATATTTTAAAACATTTATTTGTGTGTGTGTGTGTGTGTGTGTGTGTGTGTGTGTGTGTGTGTGTGTACCAGCATGCACATGGAAGTCAGAGGATAACTTGGGGGAGTTGGTTGTCTCCTTGTACCATGTCTTGGTGGCAGGTACCCCTTTACCTGCTGACCCATCTCTACTGTATTCACATTGTCTTTCTTTTTGTTTTTGTTTGTTTCCAGACAGGCTTTCTCTATGTAACAGCCTTGACTCTCCTGGAACTCACTCTGAAGACCAGGCTGGCCTCGAACTCACAGAGATCTGCCTGCCTCTGCCTCCTGATGCTGTGACTAAAGGCATGAGCCACCACCGCCCAGCTCACATTGTCTTTCTAAGAAACATTTATGCATATGCTCATTCATTCACAACCAGTCATGCTGGACGATGTAGGAGTAGCAGGTAGATGTGTGCATTCAAGGGGCATAGCCCAGGATATGTGCTGTGGAGGAGAAGGATTTTGAGCTATGGAGTTATTTGTTAAATGCTTCCTACATTTACATATTTCTGTGCCTCTCTATGTAACATACATGGGCAAATGTTTGGCTATACACTGAGACTGACAGAGATGGCTTTGATTGAAAGAGACATTTTCCTCTTTTGTGCTTCAATTTATTTATTTATTACTTATTAATAAATAAATATTATTTATTTCAAGTCTTTGTTTTGCTTTTCACTTGTTTGAGACAAGACCTTGGGTAGCCAAGTTGGCCTCAAACTCTCTGTCTTGCTTAGGCTTCTATTGCTGTGATAAAGACCATGACCATGACCGTGTGGAGGAGAGGGTTTATTTGGCTTCCTGATCACAGTCCAGCTTGAATGGAAGCCAGGGCAGCAACTCAAGGCAGCAACCTAGAAGCAGGAATTGAAGCGGAATCCATGGAGGAAGACTGCTTACTGTCTTGCTCCCCTTGGCTTCTTCAGTTTGCTTATTATACACCCCAAGACCACTTGCCCATGGATGATACCACCCACAGTTGGCTGGACCCTCCCACACCAATCAATAATCAAGAAAATGCTCTACGGAGTTGCCTATAGGTCAGTGTGATAGGCATTTCCTCAATTCAGGCTCCCTCTTCTCAGACGATGGAGCTTGTGTCTAAAACCAATCAACACTCTCCCTGTGTAGCTGAAAATGGCCTTGAACTCCAGATTCTCTTTCCTCCACCTACTAATCTGAATCACAGATGTGAGCTACTGTGCCTGGCCTTTAAAAACTTTCTACATTATAGCCTGTCCGAGGTCAGCCTGGTCTACAGAGTGAGTTCCGGGACAGCCAGGGCTGTTACACAGAGAAACCCTGTCTCAAAAAACAAAAACAAAAACAAGACAACAATAACAACAAAGCAAAACAAAAAACAACACCCCTCCAAAAAAATAACAACAAAAATTTTCTACATTGTAAACTCATTGGTACATTGTACTAAAAGTTAGGTGATCCTCTCAGTGTTCGGTTTGTTTGTTTTGTTTTGTTGAATTTTCTTTTTTGAAAATAGGGCACATAGAATTTTTTTTTCAGTTAGGAAAAATAAATGTGAAAATATTCACACAAGCTTGCATGTATTTAATATTTATTTCCCTCTCTATGATGATGACCACTTTGAAGGAGAAATGCAGAAATCCACTTCCATGGCTCCTGAGAGGTTGACTTGAGTCCTAGGGCTCCCTGCCCCAAGTTCCTGCTAGATGTGAACTCTCCAGAAACACTGGCGATATTTTTAAAATCTCTCCTTATTGGACCTTGTTTGCCTCCAACAGGAACTTAGCAACTCGATTCAGGACGCAGACCCCAGAATTTCGTTTCTCACATGCCAGCTTCAGGCTCTGTGTCCTAGGGCGACCCCTGTTGGTGGGATTTAAATTCGCACTTTTCCCCTACATGAGCTTTTCAGGCTACAGGGATTTATCTGAGGCTCACTGTTTTGCTTGTCGGCTAGAATTCTTGAGATCTACAGGCGGCTCACCCAGCCTCACCATGCTTCTCATTTCTAATTGTTTTCTCGGTCCCTTGTCAGTCTCAGGAAGCCAGGACTAGAGGCTTGGAGAATGGAGCTACAGGTGTGGCCAGCCCTTCCAGCTTCACACAGACATGTAGAGAGTGTCGTAGCTTTTGGTGGTGGTCAGTAGGTGGGGTGAGGTGACCATTGTTTTAAGGGACAGATGTGGAATATGGCTGGCGGGCTGATGAAAAACGGCCAGATCCAGGCAGTTTGTGGAGCCGAAAGCAGGCAGGATGTCACAATACACAGGATGAGGTCTGGGGGCTGCGTATCTCAGGAAGGTGGTGGGAACCCATCACAGGGTGTGGAGGCTGGGCGGGACTCTGTACCCCCAGCCAAGACAACCACTCTTCTCTGGGGGGATCCTGGCAAGAACTAGAAAACTAACAGTTCATTTTGTAGCTAGCCCCCATCTCTGCACTTGTAAGTCCTTGAATTTAGAGAAGTGTGGCTAGGAAATCCATCAGGTTCATATTGCTGGTATTCACCCAAAAAGAATTATCCATCGTATCCTGTCTGTCACAGAGGACCGAGTAGAAGTGATGAGTGGATGTGGCTGGATAGTCTGGTTTTAGACATACAGAGCCTGTCTGTAATTCATCAGGATTTTTCCACACCCCAGGCATTGGCCAATGATAAAGAAAACTAGATACCAGAGGAATGAGCTGGGCACTTTGGATCTTGGAGAAAGCATGACAAAGCACTTCCCAGAGCCCATCCCTTAAGCAGGAGACTACTCTTCATCTCTCAGAGGCCTGTGGAAATGAGCTCTTCTCTTGCTTGCAGCCTCAGGTCTGTGCTACACCGGTTGAAAAAGGAGGAGTCTCACACATGGCTCCGGAGGGGCTGACCCAAACATACTTTTCTCCACTGAGCACAATGTTCAGATACCCAGCCCACGCCCTAGTGTTTGTGGGCCTGGGGAATGGGTTCCTTAAGAAAGGGATGAAGTGGGTACTCGCAAAGTGAGGACTGGATGGGCACTTTACAAGGGGGTAGGTTCCAGTTCTATTCCGCTAGAAAGGAAGCCACCACAGAACCCAGCTCCTGGTGTACTTGGATGTCAAGGACAGGCACAGACTCCTGATCATTGTTTCCAGCTTTCTAGGAAAGGTTTGGAGACGTGCTCCCATGGTTCCAACAAGTGCCCCAGGCCTTCTGCTCAGAGGACCTAGACAAAGACTTCCAGTCTCTACCATAGACTGGCCCCAAGGCCCAGACTTAGATTCCCCAAACTGGTGAGCGCTGCCTAGAGTGAAGCCCCTCCTGCATAGTGGTGCTGGTCCTGGTGCTCACAGGACCCTGGCAGGCAGGAAGAAAGAAATGTATATTTGGAGACTCCCATTAACCAGAGGAAGGAGCTGAGTAACAAATTCCCAAAGGGGGACAGGATGTACAATGGCAATCAAAGCCCTCATCTTAGAATTAAAATGAAGTGGAAAGAAAACCCTCTACAACACCTTCTGTTTCTTGCTGGGCTCAGAGTGTTTAAGTAGCCGGTGTTCCGGGCACCCAGTGTCGAGGAGATGTCATACTCTGTATGGGCTGATTCCTGTGGCAGGGAATAGCTCACCAGTGGTGGTGGTACCTTCTTGTTTTGAACCCTGAGAACATTGGCCTGTGCGGACAAGAGGTTCCGCGTCCCACCACCCTGCATGCAGGATAGCAAGCACTTGCTATGAATTAGTACCTATACTCTCCAATCTCACTGAAATCCTCTTTCCGGGCTCAAGGAAGCCGGTTGGTGATGCTCCTTGTCCATGATCGAGTAACTAGCATATGCAGAAAACTGGCACGTGTGACGTCACTCTACCTTGCTTTCTTCTGGGATGCACGTGGGTATGCATGTCTCAGGGCAGAGGTCAAGCTGCCTGGGGTGTCCTCCCCCAGGAGCTGCCTATCTTGTTTATTTGTGTTTTGAGACACGGTGTCTCTCCTTCACCTTGAACTTGCCAAGTAGGCTAGGTTGGCTGGCCAGCAAGCCCCGGTCTCCACCTCCGCAGAGCTGGGATTACACACCAGGGCCATCACCCAAGGCCTTTTTACATTAATTCTGGGGATTGAACTCTGGTTTTCAAGTCTGTAAGCACTTTAGTGACTGAGCCACCTCCCTAGTCAATGAGCCCTCTTCAAACCAAGGTCTCTGACTGCAAAAGGGTACATCTTCCTCTCCAAGGGACCTCCAGACCTACCCAGGCGACTCTGGATTCTGTTACTATGGCCGCTTACAAAAAGGAGGAGGGGTTTGAAATCTAACAGCCGGAATGTAGAGTGGTGGTGACTCTGTGGAAGTCACAGGCCTTTCTTCTCTCTCGCCTGCCCGTCCTCTGTCCTCTAGGGAGGCCACTGGGTGCAAAGCGCGCTTCCACCGCTACAGCCCTCGGAGGTCGGCCGCGCTCGTCCTGGGCTCCAGCGCCCTCACCTGGTAGCCGCGGCTTGTTCCAGCGGCGGCTCTCGGGCTTGGGTCTGCGGCTCCGCGAGCTGCCGCCAGAGCCCGCCCGGGTCCGGCCCCCGCAGGCCGCCCACCTCGGTGAGTGGGAGGACGCTGCCCCGAGACGGAGGAGGGGGGTGCACACGGGGGGAGCTGGATGAGTGCGGGCGCCGGGGGCTCGGGGAGGAGGAGCCAGCCCCGGAAGGCGGCTATAAAAAGCGGCGGCTCGGGCTGGCAGCTCCGAGCTAGCTAGTAAGCCAGCGAGCGTGGAGCCGAGAGAGGAGCGTCTGGGGCGCAGAGTGGCAGTGGTCTGGTGCTGAGGGCTCACTGAGCTGAGTGAGGCTCGGATCTGCACCCCACTTCCCGCGCGCTCTCGTCCAGTTGGCTCTCGCTCAGGAGCTCGACGCGTGGGATCAGATATCATACTCCGGGATGCTGCACTCCAGGTCCCCGAGGCGTGGCACTGTCTCGGTCATCAACCGGAGGTAAGAGGACCGCGGAGGTAAGAGGACCCGGGCTGGGGGCGCGAGGGCTGCATGGATTTAGTCTTGGAGGGGAGAGGACAGTCGGAATCCCGCGCCTCGCCTCGGTTTAGGGAAAACATTGCCCTCCGTCGGCCTTCTTGTCCAGCTGTTCTGTGCTGTCTGCCTCTGTCTGTCTATCCGCCTGCCTGCTTGTCTGTCTGTCTGCCCGTCTGCCCATGTGTCTCTCTGTCTGCCTGCCTGCCTGCTTGTCTGTCTCTCCGTGAGTGTATTGGTGGGCACACGCCCCCCGTCACCGTCCGCCGCGGTCGTCTCTGAGGTCTTTACAAGCGGCAGGTGTTGGGGACACCAACGTCCAGGAACGCATTCGACGGGAGGCAGATCTCTGCTTTTCTTAGGTTGTCCTCTTGTGAATGGCACTAGGTGCTCACACAAACAACAGTGTCTCACCGAAGAGGAATGGCCCCGAAGCAGGTCTCAGAAGGAGCTCAGTACAGTGGGCGAGCTTACCCTGTGGCTAGTGGTCGCGAGCCTCACAAGTCTGCACCTTGTCGCTTCCGCGTTTGGCAAGGTCTTCTGGGTTCCCTCGTCAGCCCCTGCCGTCCCAGCGATGCGCTGGCGCGGGGCGAGCGGAGACGATCTGATGTTAGACGACCTCGATGGTCCCTGCTGATACTGAAGCAAACACAGCCTGGCAGCACTGCAGGAATGTTTGTTGGCCCCTCGCAACGGACGTCATCTGCAAGAAGGGTCGCGCTAGACTGAAAGGAAAACGAAGGTCTCATCAGGGCACAAGAGTCATACACGGTTCTCCAGTTCGCCTCTCTGGGAATGAGGTCCGGGGAGATTTCGTGTGTTCTTGACAAGAAGGGCGGTGCACCCGTGTTCCCCAAGAGTTGGACATTCCACCCGTGCCCCGTCAGAGGTTCTCAGTCCTGCTCCGACCAGCCAGTTCTGCCCACAGGTAAGAACTCCCTTTTAAAGCCAAGTTTTGATGTGAGAGCCACGGCCTGGCTGAAGCCCTGTCCAGGAGACCGTGAGCCAGGGAGTCGTCTCCATGTCAGCGGTCTGGAGAGGGACCCCAGGCGCGCCCGCGGGCAGGGAACAGGCGGCTCTGCGTGCCCAGGCGCGGCGCCACCATGGACAGCTCCCAGCTACTTCCGCCACTCGGGGCCTGTGGCCGTGAGTCTGGAGCGTCAGGCGCCACCTTCACCGATTCAGGTGTTGAGACACTGGGAAGGTAGAAAGGGACTAAAAGACCTGTGGACCTACGTGTCCATTTTGGAGGCACTAACCACTCAGGAGGGAGTCTACCCTGCCAGGGGCTGTGGTTTTCTACCAGGTCCCAGCAGAGCTTGCATTCTGTGTAGCCTCTTAATGTCACTTGAGTTTTATGTGGCCCTATGGAGATTCCTCAGAGGTGTGGTAGGTGTGCAACCTTTGTTATATGATCCCGACAGTGAGATAAAAGCATATGTAATTAGGTATAGAACTAAACTGCTTTCAGTGTAGGGCATGAAGTCATGTTTTTTAAAACAATTTAATAAATATGGTAATGAATCAGTATTTTAGTTTCACAGTTTATGACAGAACAGAGAAGAAACCATGTAAGACAAAATTACAAGGAAGTGTCTGAGTGAGTGTGCAAAATCAGCTACACTCTTTTGGATCCTAACAGAGCCTTCTAAAGAGGGGCTCTGGAGGCAGCTTCCAAGGGCTCTGCTTATTCCGGTAGATGATGGTTCAAACTGATTGGGAATGGGGTGAGGGGCTGTTTCCTTCTTCTAGTAAGAAATGATGCTGGATGGGCTCTTTTTTGTGAGCACCACCTAGACCAGTGGTTCTCAACCTTCCCAATGCTGGGACCCTTTAAAACAGTTCCTTATGTTGTGGTGACCCCCAACCATACAATTACTTCCGTTGCTACTTCATAACTGTAATTTTGTTACCATTATAAATCATAATGTTTTCTGATGGAATTTGGGGGTTGTGACTCAAGGGTTGAGAACCACTTACCTATACCAAAATATAGTAGTGTGTGTGTGTGTTCCTTTATTTTAAAAATTACAAGAAATCAGAAGGTCTTTTCTGCTTGTGACAGCAGCATATGTATAATAAACAATAAGAATAAGAGAAGGGGAAGGAGGAGAGAGAGAGAGAGAAATCTGTGACTTTGGGAAAGTCAACTAAACTTATATCTGTTTCCTCATCTGGAAGTGGGGACAAGTGGACTCCACTAGTAAGTGGTCAGGGAAATTGCTGGTATACAGCAAAGCATTTAAGTCTAGTGCTGAGCAGAGAGAACTCCTAAAATGGTATGGTTACAGGTGCATTTCAAAGTGCTATGCATTTTCTGAGTTATGTTTCCCAGCCCCGTGTCCTCTTTCCTAACCCAGTAACTGGTTGGGAGTGACTCTGCCATTTTATTGTCACGTTTGACAACTCGCTGAGGGAATTGAAGAAAGTGCTGAAGGAAGATAAGTGGAGGGATTTTTATGAGAGGCCAATCAGTTCCCTGCTTCTCCACCTGCACCACTTGAAGGAAGCATTTTAAAGAAGTCATTTTCAGCCCATCATTCCAGCACTTGATCTAGATGATCGTTTCTTCCTGCACTTTTCCTCACACAATCTGCTAAGGAGCCCCACTACCTTGCTGAGGCACAGCACCCTTGGGGTGCAGGTATGGAGGGTCTCCAAGGCCTTCTTTCTAGATGAAGTTCTGGTTAGCTGCAGAAGAGAGAAGTTGACTTTGTCAGACCTCGAGTGGTCACGCCATACACCCTCTTAACATGCTTGAGTTTTGCTGGGACGTGACAACCTGGTCAAGACACTTTGCTCACAATGTCTTGGTCCTCCCTAGATTTGGAGGGCCCCTTAAGTTCTTCATTTTGGAGTTCTATCTGATAGAAACAACTAGCATATGACACCCCGAAGAAATGGATGACGGAGCTACAAGCACACAGTATTGTAGTCAGACCTCCCCGGGGAGTGTGCGTGTACACGTGCCTATTCCTGCCAGTTTCACATTCTAGTGTGCTCAGATTTTCCTTCATTCCCTCTCTCAGTAGATCAGAAGGAATCTTTGTTTCCTCCACTTGAAAGGAGTTCCTGAGCAGCCCACAGATGCTAGGAGTCTTTCTGTGACTTTCCTCTGCTGCTGATGTGACTACATAAGAAGGATCTGGGTCCCCAACTCACCCTGAAGTCTGAGTGGTCTTCTGGGCACTACACAGTTTACTGTCCCTGCAGCTTCCAGGTAAGAAAATGACTGAACCATAGAACACTCCTGGGAGGCAAGGCCGGTGAGGGGAGGAAGAAAGGAACTCATCATTGGTTCTGTTGCATTCTGTCTGTCTGAGGCAGCTGTGTCTGAGTCTTTGGGGCAGACCGATCTGTTGGCAAGGATTACATTTGGTGAGAAGGGCCAGTGGGATGGTAAAGCCATCTCTAGTTACTCTTATTGGCCCCTTGGAAGCCTGTGGCCCCTTTTAATCCTGTGTGGTGCTGGCAGATCAGCACCATCATGCAGATTAAGTGCACTTTGCATTTTATCTATAGCTCAAAAGGCTCATGCTTGCATGGAGCTTGGCTGCCCAAAGGGAACAAAGTTATGTGTGTGAGCTTCATCTACAAGATTCCCCAACTGTGGCAGTCTGAGTGACATGTATCTTTGCACGTGGTGGCAAATACACAGATGTTTGATCTTAGCAGAGTAATGTAGCAGCTGTCTTTTGTGGTTTTCATCACTGTGACGGCAGCTCCAGTTTCCTTTGAATGGGGACTAGGAGGATCTTGCTTGCCTGACTTTGGTTGGGTTGGCAGTGGTTGGGAGTGGGCAGTGGGGACATGCTTAGGGCCATGTGTTTCTTCATGTTGCTTTGCCAGCTTCTCGGTATGGTCTTCACATCCCCCAAAGCCTTACACATGGGAACTGTGCAGATGTGGATAGGATGGTGCCTGTCATGGTGACTTTTATTAGTTTCCACACCTTGCTGTCTAGCCACTCCCTTGGGACCATCCTGGCTTCTCTGGCAGGTTCCACAGTTTTCCCTTTATCTTCTGTCTGCCCTGGTGCCAGACTTTGTTCTAGCCTAGGTTTCTGGCAGGGAGGCTGCTTGCTGAGAATGTCATCAAATATACATTATACCGCTCCTCAGTTCCTTGGTGCCAGGAAACACACTTACCCACCCAAAGGAGCTCCTTCTTACCCCTGTTATTTTCCAGGGCTTGTCCCTGGACTCTGCTTGGCTCCTCTAGGTTCTGCTTGGCTCCAGGAAGCTAATAGGGCTTTCTCTTCCCAGCCCTGCAAGGGGGGGATCCTTTGGAAGCCCAGGCAGGCTTTCCCTGCAAAGGCGCCCACTCTGAGCAAGTATCTCTCCCTCCACCCTAGAATTCTTGCCTCGGGAACTCACGAGGCATTTGTAAGGCTTTTGCTCTGAATCTTCTGCAAGGGCAGCGAGACCATGGGATTAGCCACAACTTTAGAGTGCTTGAAACACTGCTTTGGAAAGAGCTATGCCTTTTTTCTCCATCTGTGAGGAACTAAGCCATCAGACATTTTCTATTACAGGGAAGTCATGAACAGAGGCTGTTGGCTTCACCATGCAGAGTGTCTATTCTGTTTCTGTTTCTAGGGACAGGAAGTCTGAAGGCTTCTTCAGCAGCCTACTACAAGCTACCCTGCCTTGAGCTGAGTGGTTTGTGCTATTGCCCAAGTCTTTATAGCTGTAGGGCATGGTGCTGAAGACATTATAGTGAACATGAAGGCAGGACTCAGACTCTGTTTGATCAGGAAAGGTGAAGGGCACTGGAGCAACCCTTGGAAACTGGATAGAAGGTGATGATCATTGCCATTCTGCTCCTAACCTAGACTGGCTGTCAGATTTTGGGCAGGGTCCTTGGCTCTTCCAATCTTCTGCTTTCTTACATTAGAGGAGTTTCCTGAGCTTGAACATGTAAATAAGCTACAGTGAGGCTTGAGAGAGCTCAACTCTGGCTTGGCAGATGAGGAGTGGACTTAGGAGGTCAGCATTTCTAACAAGTTCGTGGGGGGTAGGATGCTTCTGGTTCTGAAACTCCCCTTGATGTTCTGTGACTCAGACTAACTCATTTTGGTGTTGTTTAAGTCAATTTCTGATGTCGAAGTAGATGGAGCCAAGCTGGCCCATGACCTCTTAGTGACCTTATAAAGACCCTTCAAATTCCCGGAGATAATTATGGTCATTCCTAAGCTGTCTTATCAGCAGACTAAATATCTTGAACCCCTTTTCCCTGTCATAATAAATTTCCCCAAATTCTCTGGACCAGGTCACTTTTAAGCACAAGATTATTGTGTAAATGGCAATTTATCTTTGCCTGGCAGAAGCATTTGAATGCAATTTTGGTGGCATTAAGAGATCATTTGAGGAATTTCATCTAACTCTGGTTCCAGACAGTGAGAATGCATGTTTACATTTAAACAACTTTCCTGGACTCTAAAAGGTTTTTTAAAAAGCATGAACATTAAATTTAAAGCCCCAATTGTCATCCTCAGTCCCACATCCTTGTAGTGATCCTGCAAGAGTAGGGTGGCCACAACAGATGCATTTTGGGTACCGGAGATGCAGGTGTGCTCTTCCACTCTGTCATTCATCACCACAGCTGGAGACTGAAAACAGAGAGGTCTGTGTGGTGGCCTTGAATTAATTTCTGGGGAGGTGGATTTGAGGACATGCTCCAAGATCTCTAGGAGTTAACAGTCTAGAGGAAGGACAGATCTCCAGGTCAGAAGTTGCTCCACAGAGTGAGGGGGACCAGGAAAGATGGCTCACAGGGGGGAGGTTAGGACTGAGCTGGGGGATCAGAGGAGCCATTGACTCAGCTGGAGGTGAAGCCAGGAAGCTTCGTGGAAGTCTGGAAGGGTTAATAGGCATAGACAATAATGGGATTCTAAGAGGGAAGCTCCAAAACATTCCACAGAGAGAGAAGGGCACAGAGAAAGATCCAGAAGCACCAACAGTCTTAAATGGCTCACTTCTTGCAACTCTCAGGTGCATATCTGACCCAGGGACATAGGCTCCCTGACATGCCCAGACCTTGGGCTGCATCATGGAGAAGAGCAAGCCTGTCAAACAGTGGCAGATCTTGGGGCCTTTTTTCTCCTGGACTAGAGGTTTAAAAAAGGACTTTAACTATAAAATGTTTTATTCCTATAAAATCTGACTAAATCCCATTCACAAACCAGGTTAAAAAAAAAAAAGTATCTATGTCGAGGAAGGGAGCAGTGTTTGTCTTGAGGCCCACAAGAGGTTCCAAAGATCCTTCTGCGTTCCCAGGCACACAGTTGAAAAGCCTTTTTCCTAAGATTTTTGTGTTTTGCTCCAGGCAGCCATATTAATGGTGTTATCTTAGTTTCAGTACAGTCTATCTTGCTCTGTCTTTTAAATATTTTGATGTCTTGCTGGTTTTTTTCTTAATGGTGTGTGTATGTGTGTGTCATCAGTTTTCAAAGAAATAAGACCAGAGTCCTTTTGCATGTATTAACCTAAAGAATACAGAGGATAAGGGTTACTACTGGCAAAGACTCTCTGACAGAAAACTCCAGCTGAGCTCACCATGGGAGGAAGCAATACAGCTGTGAGCTATCTGCAAAAATAGGCTGTTTATTTTCAAACCTGTCAATCAATCTTAAGCCTCCTAAGACTTTCATATGTTATAAAAGCTGGTAATGAAAAAAAATTAGTTTATTTCCTGGATGTAAAATGTCAACACATTCTACAGAGGACCTTGGATCTCCTTTCATTAATGCAAGACAGCCCAATTTGAATGCAAAGTGTTTTTGAAGGAGGAGTCCTAGAAGGGAGATAAGGCTGACAGGTGGGTGTAGAAGACTTTGGCTAGCAAGGTAGTTCAAGTGTGGCTTTTGTGAGACCCCTGCAAAACTCTCTTTTAAGGAGAAAATTGATACCCTGAGTGGGACACCATTTGAATAAAACCTGCCCTTCCCTGATGAGTGGTCCCAGTCATTTAAAGGGGATCAGGAAAGCCACTTCTGGGGTTGGTACTAGCTCCTCCAGCATAACCATATGAACTATTTAAGATGGTGAAAACAAGTCTTGTTTAGTGCAGAGAACTTAGAAAACACTCACCCTTCAGAAGAACCTATTGGGTATGTGAGAAACCCCGGCAGAGGCAAACAGCATGCTGGCACATAGGTTCTACCAGGATAGGCATCTGTGGTTGCCTAGGGTTCCTTCTGTTGATTGGCACTTTCAGGGAAGGCTGGAGAAAAAGGTGATTGTGACTCTACTCTCTGGGGAGCATCTGGCCTTCACCCCACATTGCCACAGCAGCTGGAACCCTTCACGAAGACTGGTTCCCAAAGCACGGAGTCTTCGCCTTTCCCTCCTTCTTAGGCTTTTCCTTGGGCTACACTCAGGGTAGTTTCTGCATTGCCCTGGTGTCTCAACAGAGGTGACCACAGACCCTGGTTCTCTCAGCCACATGGAACTGTCTGGGAGACTAGCTGACAAGCCTGAGTCCCCAATGACACGGGTGTAGAGAGGCCACTGCTTGGCTGTAACTAAACTTCACCTCTTCTTCCCTCCACGTTCCCGAGGCCATGAGCACGGGGCCATGCTATCTGCAGGTGGGATTTGAGGACACAGGTGTAGACCTGTGTGGTGCTTCTGCCCAGCTTTTAGCTCAAGGCATCACTCTCCTGCCTTCTTTATCAAAAAATGTTTTTTGTATGTGTGCGCGTGCGTCTGTGCGTGTACTTGTTTGCACATACATGTGGAGGCCAGAGGTGGATGTCTTCCTCAGTCTTTCTCTGCTGTTTTGAGAAAACGTTTCTCACTGAACCGAGAGCTCACAGCTTCAACCGTCGGCTGGTCAGTGATCTTTAGAGAGCCTCTTGTCCCTGTCACCTCAGAGCCGGGATTGTAAACACATGCCGCTCTTCCTGGAGACCAAATTCAGGCCCTCATGCTTGTACAGCAAGCTCTTCACTGGCTGAGCCACCGGCATGCCCTGTGGCCCGCCTCCCAGAGAAGACACTTGTTGCACTGTCTGGTGGGACACTTGTTCCTGCCCTGTCTCACTGTGTGGCAGGACACAGCTGTTCTCCCTCTAATGAACAGTAGAGATCAGCTCCCAAAGCTGAGCGCACAGGGAGCAAGCTTGAGTGGGGGGGGAAAAAAAACCTGTTTTTAAACAAGCTGGTGGTTTGTGACAAGCACATTTCAAAGCTGGATTGCAGGCGCTGAGTAATCTGCG